TATGACAAGGCCTCTGTTATACTATGACTTGTATCATATTATTTGTTATGATTAGAATATTATGACGTTTGAGGAAAATCTATCTCAATGATAATTGATTTTCGCGGTGTAGCATCTATTCCATTAATTAATTTTCCCTACCATAGCAAAATACTTTTTTTAGCGGTGCAGCGGCTGCGATATTCTTGTACCTGATGCACAAGAATTTGCAAAGTTTGAACGAATGTACAATGCGCGAAATATCGTCGCAACAAGAACCAGAAGATGTGGTAATAAGCCGTCTACGTAAAAAGTCTCAAATACTCGTTGCTGTCATCATCATCGTTTCCATCGTTATTACAGCTTCCACAGTTGGAAGTTTGTTTTTCCTGGATTAAGAAATAGCGGTTATACGTTTCTGCGAGCTGCTGCTGGTCTTAAAGCCAATGAATGTCACAAAAAAATAGATTTTACCTTGTCACATCGATTTTACCTTTTTTAATATATTCGTTCCACAAATAAAATGCAGCGCAGGTCCGGGATGCGGCATCATATGCTGCATCTGCATTGGCTTAATTTCGCTTCAGTAAAACAGAACTGACCTTTTCAAGTGTTGTGTCATAGGCGACGTGAAAGTTGATTTTATGTTTTTGAAATCGAAATTATTTGAAATCTTTTAGCTTTTATAGTTCTGAAGCTGAATCATTGTCCGTATAACATAAAATAGTAGCAAGGTCATCGGCACAGTGAATAACTATTCCAAATAAAAATTTCAAATCCAAGCAGCTTCTGTTTCAGTGTATGTTTGGAAGCTAGTAAGACAACACTCGATAATCCCAAATCTGCCACTGGCGGCGCAAATACTTATCGAAGCATATATAACTTTCATGACTCAGTCATCCCTCATGATTTGTGCCATTTTCTTCGTCGTTTTCTGCAACGTTATACGGCAGAGTTTCAACAAACTCATCGCCGATATGCAGTGGCTTGGCATCGATTTGGCTGCAGTGTGAGTTTTGTTAGATTTTGCAACTGTCTGGTATAAGTTAACCTCCTCCTTCGCCTCAGGAAATCCTGTAAGCTGAGGCTTTTGCTCTTCCGGCTTTCTAAAATTGCCTTTTTTCGATAAGGCCGACAAGGGAAGTGATTGATTTTGCTGTAATTTTTATTCAAAAAAAAAACGAGGGATGATGTTAATCTGAGTTACGATGCACAACAGTTTTCGAAAAGGGACTCG